CAAGGTCAATCCTTCCTCTCCCTCCTCATCTTCAGCCTACTCAACGTGACACCGAAAGGACTAAGGCCTTTACGATGATCCACTTTCACGTAATGAATAGGAAATATATTTCCTCTTCCTTATGATTGTCTTAATAACACTTTATTTGCACTAGCTTACGTCATTATAAGAATACAGTCTATGATACACATAACACGCAAAATATGTATTAATTGACTGGTTATATCATTGGCAAGGTTTCTGGTCAACAAGAGGCTATTAGTATTCAAGTATGGGGAGAGTCAAAAAAAACACAAATTATCGACTGTGCAAGGTGTTGACACCCCTACCCCCCAACCCCGAGTTGTTCAAGGGTCAGCCATACTGACAGGCCTCATCCTGCCTGTGAAAGGGAAGGATGGTTTCCCCACTCATGGAGGTTATGATGGCAAAGGAAGGGGTGGAATAGGAGGGAAGAAACAAAATCAGAACAGAGTGGGTGCTGGTCTTTGTGACTTTGGGCAGAGAGAAAAATTGCAAAGAGACCTGGTGATGGAGCTTAACACCTCGCAACTGACTCCGAATTACATTTCATTCTCCCTTGGTGAAAGGGAAGCAAGTTGTAAGTACTTACAGTAAATTAAGTTTGACATCTTCCTTCAGAATAGAAGTGTCCTGATTTCCACCTCATGCCGAGAACAGCTGGATGCTCCTCACTGCTTTCTAATTACTGATTAGCACAACAATGGCCTAATCGGTCCTCCATATTGGGGGGGGAGTCATTTTGATTATTGCTTTCTCATACTTTAAGAGGGTTTCCTGGGGCCTTGTTTGCCCGGCCCTTCACCCTCCCGTTAAGAGGACCTTACACCAGCCACAGGAGGGCAACCACTGTAAATGTCTGGAAAGGAGTCTGTACCCATTGGCCAGATGCATTGTGTAACAGCTCCTATGCTACCTGTATTCTATTAAAGAGCGTATTAGAAAACTTTGTGTAGGTATGTCCTTGTTCTGTAGTTTAAACTGAAGCATTTAAATGCGACTATGCCCAGACTGAGCAAAGCTTCTTCGAAAATCATAATTTACCTTCCCCCAGCGGCTCTGTCCGTCCTGTTCTCTCTCAAAGGGACCTTGAGTGGGCGGATCAGTGGATGAGGAATGGGCAGTTTAGCCTACTGCATGGGACTCTCCATACTTTGGTAGGTGACACAAGGGGAGTCCTTAAATCTACCTATCACATGTACATCAGATGAGCGCTACAATGATTATGGGGGTTTTTAATGAGACTGTACAAGTTAGAGTGTTTCATATTCTGTTTGTAATGGCAACAAAATGATTTTTCTTTTGGATATGGAGGGGTCTTGCTATGTTGGTCTCAAACTGCTGGCCTCAGGTGATCCTCCTGCCTCAGCCTCCTAAAGTGCTGGGATTACAGGCGTGAGCCACCAAGTCTGACCTTAAAAGGATTTTTAAATTACCAGGTGATTCTAACTTAAACGAATACAAAGAACAACATTTGCCCTTCCAAATGCAAAGGACAGAGCGTTCATTTTGAGATAATAGTGGGTAGTTTTTTTCTGTTACCCTGGGGCTCATCAAGATGGGTCACACATTATCAGTGCCTTTTCTTGTTCTGAAATTGAATGAGGATGTTCTCAGGAGATTTAACCTGGGAATGAACATGAAATCACTTAGTCCCAGCCCTGTTGGTATTTTCTTGGAATCTATCCTTGATCTTCTGCAGCATCAGGGTGATTGGTGTGATCTTGAGTAGACTTTCAGATATCTCCACATCGTTCCAGTATAAATATCTTTATAATTTATTTTTATTTTTATTGTTTTGAGTTGGAGTCTCACTCCGTCACCCAGACCAGAGTGCAGTGGCATGCTCACGACTACCCCAGCGTTGACCTGCTGGGCTCCCGCAATCCTTCCACCTCAGCCTTCCAAGTAGCCAGAACTACAGGCATGGGTTACCAAGCCCAGCTAATTTTTTGAACTGTTGTAGAGATGAGGTCTCGCCAAGTTGCCCTGGCTGTTCTCGAACCCGTGGGCTCAGGCAGTCTTCTCACCTCAGCCTCCCAAAGTGCTGGGATTACAGGCTTGAGCCACCATGCCCAGCCTGTTTATGATTTTGAAACTGCCTAAAGTAAATACAAGTCCTCATTTGGGAGTGCAATACCACAAGCGTAAGTCGTTCCTCAGACTCACATCAAATGATTGCACCGCTTAGCACCCATTTTCCATCTGTCACCCATCTCTCCTTTACCTCCCAAGTTGGTCTTGTTGATGTAACAAGTTAATGAGCAATTGTTGTGCAGCAAACATTGTAATAAGTACTGTGCTTATATTATCTAACAACAACCTGTTAGTTGTAATAAAACCTCCCACATGAAGTAGGTGTTATTATCTCCTTTTGCAGATATAAAAAACTGTAACTCAGAGAGAGAGGTTAATATATTGAAAGAGGTAACAAAGATAACAAGTGACTAAGTCAGAATTTGAACCCAGGTCTGCTCATTGCCGAACCCCATGTACTGTAACCAGTACACTATATTGCCTTCAAGTATTAGCAAAAGGGGTCACTCTTTTTTATTTTTTTTTTTTGCTTCTTTATAATATAGCATTAGTAAGTCTAGTTAGAAGACTGACTTTCCAACTCCTAAGACATCTTGAATAAGTCTAATCTTCATATTCTTTCTTATACACAAAACCACATGTCTATTTACTTGAAGAAAAAATACCTAAGGGTTATGAATCTGAGATCAACATAAAGGAAATGAATCTGTACTAGAGAGGTTTGGAAACTACACTTTCAAGAAGATTAGCCCTAGGACATGACTACTAATAAAAGCACATTCCTTGGTTGATTCTCTATACAAAGAACACTGAGTGCACACCATTCAAGGCAATCGGGGATCCAATGACAAATAAAACACAGTCCCTGCCCTCAAGTGCCTCTAGTAGGGAAACTGAGTAAGGGAGAGGTCATTACAACCCAATGTGTTAAGTCCTGTGGGTGAGTAAATGGGATGTGATGACCCAGAGGCAGGTACCTAATCCAGGTAGAGGATGTCAAGGAAGACACATCCCATCTTTGAAGGTAGAGTCCAGTGTCATTTGTCACCACATGGTTAAATGGGCCACCCAATTTTCCTGGAAAGACATATGCTTATTTGCTCTATTTCATTAGCTGAAGAGAACTAGAGATGCCTGGTTATACATTCCCAGTGTTTTGGCTAAAATTTTTTGACAACTCAAGAAAATTTTTCAAATAATATCAGACTAAATACAATCAGAAGAGCATATGGGGACATTGGTGGGAGGACCTAGAAGCCAGTTTCCATGCTCTCACCTCACCAGTGAGGAATGTGTGCATTCATCCCTAAATCTCTTAGGATGCCTCTATAAACCGCTCTGACACTCTGACCTAAAGAGTGGCCTACGTGTATGAGTTGTAGCTTATAAGAAGGAGACAGGCGGGGCTCAGTGGCTCATCCTGTAATCCCGCGCCTTTGGGAGGCTGAGGTGAGTGGATTGCCTGAGCCCGCAGGTTCGAGACCCGCCTGGGCAGCGAGATCTCATCTCTACAATAAATCAAAAAATCAGCCAGGCGTGGTAGCGCATGCCTGTAATTCCGGCTACTTGGAAGGCTGAGGCGGAAGGATCGCCGGAGCCCAGCAGGTGCCGGAGCTGCAGCCACTGCACTTCAGTCTGGGTGACGGAGTGAGACTCCAACTCAAAAAAACAAAACAAAACAAAACAAAAAAAAAGGAGACCAAACACATGGAAAGAAGGCAAATGAGAAACCCTAACATTTTTATGAAAATATGCCTGAAACATCGTAAATGATAAGATATTTAAATAACTGGAAGAAGCAGAACTAGATTGAGGAATTCCTGTACTAATCCACATTTCTCCCAGATCCCACAGCCCGATAAGACAATCATGGCAGCCAAAAGACTGGAATTTGTCAGAAGACTGCTGTGGTAGGATTCTCTCTCAGGACCAGGGAAAGGTTCTAGGTCAACTTTTCTCAGGACTCAAGTTTAAGTTTTTCTGGAATTTTAAGCCAGACTCCAACTGTACAGTGACTCCTTGTGAAAGCTTAGAAGAGGTGGAGAAGATAACAAGAGTCTTCGGAAACCCTGACTCTCACCCAACAATGTTGACTGAGCACTCACTGCTCGGTCAAGCACAGTACCAGGTACTTGACATAAAATCTCCCACTTAATCCTCAAGAACACCACTGCCAGGAGATAGTATGCCCATTTTACAGATGAGACAATTGAAATTCTGAGGTAATAACCTACCCAGATCCCACAGCTGATAGCGGAGACAGGATTCACACCTATAAATGCAAAATTCTAGGGGGATTTTTCTAAAGTCAATAAGCCAGCAGCGTAAGTGCTACACTGAGCAACCTAATAAAGTCTTTTTTTTTTTAAGCTATCAGATACCACATTTTCTTCTGGGTGCAATGGCTCACACTCATAATCCCAGCAGTTGAGGAGCCCAAGGAAGGAGAATTGCTTAAGCCCAGGAGTTCAAGCTTGGGCAACATAATGAGACCTCTTCTCTACAAAATATCACAAAATTAGCTGCATGAAGTGGCACTCTCCTGTAGCCCCAGCTACTCAAGAGGCTGAGGCAGAAGGATCACCTAAGCCCAGGAGATGGAGACTGCGGGAAGCCGTGATTTTTGCCACTGCACTCCAACCTGGGCAAATAAAGTGAGACTCCAGCTCAAAAACAAAAAAAAGATACCACATTTTCACCAGGCTCTGAGGTCTCCCTGGATTGTGATATTTAATGTGATGCAGCTGCAAACTGAGCCCCAAAGCAAATGAGCCAGCAATAATTGCCCTTTTCAAAGGCATCCCACCTGCTTGTTACAAAGATATACACCTGAAACCAAGCCTGCCTCTGGATATAAATAAATCTCCTGGCCCACGAACCCCCCCAGGCTCTTGGAAGAGGCGCATGGAAGCTTGTGGCCAGCGGGGGTTCCTGGTAGCATCATGTGGTTGCTGCAGTTTATCCTGCTCTGTCTTCCACTCTCTCTGGTTTTGAGTGACCAGCATAGACCCGAGGCACCAGCTAATCCTGGTGTGCTCCGCTGTGGGTCACACAGCTTTCAGTTTGCTATAAACCTTTCCAGCCAGGAGGCAGCGACTCCTCCTGTGCTGATAGCTTGGGGTAAGTTTGAAGACGGGCCAGACTTAGCCAAGTGATGATGATACATCTCCTCTACGACCTAAAGCTACTCCCTAACTCCCTGTCTTGCCACTTCCCCTTTAACAAATCCTGTGTTTTCTGTTTGCAGAACAAGGAGTCTGAAACATAACCGCTTTTGATCTGAATCTGACTTCCCTCCTCCTCATCTTCTTCCTGGTAGCTGCCCCTTGAGGTCTAAAGACAAGGCTGGCTGACGTTTTCCAGTACTGGTGACCCTGGAGACTGACCACTTGTGTTTTTCATCTTTCCCACCCCTCCAGACAACCAGGGGCTGGCACGCAGGCTGCAGAATGACTCTGACTGTGGCATCTGGGTCAGGGAGGGCCCGGGCAGCTCCGTGGATTTGGAGGCCACCTACAGCGGCTGCTATGTCACAGAGTGGGTGAGTGATAACCCAATGGTCGGGGACACAGAGACTCCCTCATGCCGCCATTCAGGGTGACTCCCCGGGGCCTGTCTCTTCAGGACTCCAACTATATCATGGCAGTTGGAATTGAAGGAGCGGACGTGGCAGGACACAAGCCGGTTATAGAGAAGAAGCTGCTCAGGTGTCCTGTAGGTCTCCCAGGTAAAGAAGGGAAGCTTTCAGGTGAAGGTGCTCTTGGGTCTCTTCTACCTGCTCTGTGCAGTAACACCTGATACTAAGGCTCTCAGGATTGTTTTCTCCCCACTTTCACCTCTGTGGGAAGTCCTTAGGATAGCTACCAACTAAGATTACTCAATGCTGAGGCCCTGTGGTAAACACTTCACATGTCACCTACCTCCCCTAATCCTAGCCCAGTGCTATAAACACCATTGCTATCCCCTGGCCTGGCAGTGAATTTGCCCAGGGCCCCTCACCGGCAAGTGGCAAAGCTGGGATTCAAACAAGAATTCACCCAGAACCAGGAGCTCCTCACCCTTGGAAAGAAGGATTAAAAAAGAAGGTGAAACTAGCAAGGGGACTTGGCAGACTATATGATGAGACTAGGATCTAAGTCTTCCGTGCCTAGGCTGGGTGTGACTTGGTCATTTCCCTGGAAAATCAGGAGGAAGGATGATGCCTACTCAACTTCGGAAAGTCTTGTCTTGCCATCTGAGAGCCCTAACTCAAAGTCAGAACAGATTTGAACTCCCAATTTACTCTTCTCACTGGCCTTTTTTATTCAATATATGGCTTGGATGAGCAAAACTGACTTACTGAACCAGACACTCACTTTAAAAAGACTCAGGTAACTTGTATCTAAGCCAAGACTTGAGAAACACTTGTAAAGAACAAAAGGATTGTTACTTTGAAGGAGCTCCACTGCTGACACCCGTCTTCCTGGTATTTGCTCCTTTCAAAAATATCTAATGTCAGTGCATTCTTACGAGATGACTTAATACTAAACCTTGCGAAACGTAATCTACAGAATGTATCATAGATATACCTATTCTAATCATCCCCATATCTGTGGGAATCCAATGTTGATGACTTGCAACAAATGTTACAGATGTTCAAAACAAACTTTCCCATTACCTAACTTGAGTTATCATTTCCTTTTTAAAACCTAGCCCTAGATGCCCCGGGTGCTGACCGGTGTGACTCTATCCCAGCGTGGGACAGGTTGCCATGTGCACCCTCACCCATCTCTCCAGGGGACTGTGAGGAGCTAGGCTGTTGCTACAGCTCTGTGAATTCCTGCTACTATGGAAACACGGGTGAGTGAGTTAACACGTGCTTGAAACCAGCTGAGCAAGAGTGCCAATTACTTATAATGAAACCCGGAGCAGGGACAAAAAGGGAGGCAAATGTTAAGATATTAAGTGACTGGAATCTGCCATGAAGCAATGCTTCCTAGAATGCTCAGACCCTAAGTAATAGAGCTTCCTACAGCATTCCATTGTGTCTTCTTTCAGAGTCTAAATATAAAGCTAATAACACTCAGTGAACTCAAGTCTCTGTGCTAGATATGTGTTAACTGACAGAAACTTCATTCCCCCCCACCCCCAAGGATTAGCCACTTTGGGGACTTCTGGTCCTGAATTGTGTTTAGAGAGCCTTATTTCAAGACTATCTTTTGCATGTCTCAAGTTATGCTCCAAGGTTTTCCAATACAAAAAAAAAATTCCCTTCATTGAGCATGCATATGTTCCACTCTAAGATCAGAATCTTAGCTGATAAGTAAAATGAGGCAGGAGTGACTATTCCAGTTTACAAATGAACTGAAGCAAAGTGCTTCAGTACCTTATCTGAGGTACAAGTGGGGAAGGTAAGGCCTCCAGCCCAGGTGCCTCTTCAGAGCCATGGGCAAGTGGTGCACAGCTGAACTTGCACCAAGGCCATCAGCTGGAAATAACCTCTCAGAGGGAGAATCAAAAATAAGTCAGGAGACTTGTCTGCTTGGCTCAGTAATGGGAGAGGTTACCTGCCTTGAGCATAGCCATTCTGGTGTTTCAGTGACCTTGCACTGTACCCGAGAGGGCCACTTCTCCATCGCTGTGTCTCGGAACATGACCTCGCCCCCTCTGCTCTTGGATTCTGTGCACTTGACCTTCAGGAATGATGGTGAATGTAACCCTGTGACAGCAACACACGCCTTTGTCCTATTCCGGTTTCCATTTACTTCCTGTGGTACCACAAGACAGGTGAGAGCAGCTGCCCTTGGGCTTTGCTCCTGGCTCTGGAAGTTATACGGGAATGTCCTAGTAACTAGTGGGGGAGAGCCTGGGATATGCCTGACTAGCCTCTTGATGTTTAGGAGTTTCTAGGACAGGAGAATGCCTCATCATGGAGAAACTTCCCCTGGGTGTTCAGCTAAGACAATCACAGCTGTGATCCAGCTAAGGGGCTATCCCTCTACAAGGCCAGTGTGGATGTTTACTAGGATTGGCGCAGCCAGTGTGGATGTTTACTAGGATTGGCGCAGCCAGTGTGGATGTTTACTAGGATTGGCGCGGCCAGTGTGGATGTTTACTAGGATTGGCGCGGCCAGTGTGGATGTTTACTAGGATTGGCGCAGCCAGTGTGGATGTTTACTAGGATTGGCGCAGCCAGTGTGGATGTTTACTAGGATTGGCGCAGCCAGTGTGGATGTTTACTAGGATTGGCGCAGCCAGTGTGGATGTTTACTAGGATTGGCGCAGCCAGTGTGGATGTTTACTAGGATTGGCGCAGCCAGTGTGGATGTTTACTAGGATTGGTGGGAGTGTGTTCCAGCTGCCTTTTCTGAGTATTCAAATCCCCTTTCCATTGCTTTGTTCTGAAACAAGGCAAAGTGATAACTAGCTAGATCATTCATTGCTACCTGCTCTTGTCTGTGCTCCGCGAACAGGAAGTATAACATACAACAGGGTAGTGACTAGAGCAAAGCAAGCAGAGTGAAGCAGCATCTAGCTAGCAGGATTGGTCAAGACTTACCTACTCTTGTAGATCACTGGAGACCAAGTAACGTATGAAAACGAGCTGGTTGCAACTAGGGATGTGAAACGTGGGAGCCTTGGCTCTATCACCCGTGACAGCATCTTCAGGTAAAGTCTTAGTTCACTTGCCTTTACTTGGCTAGGACAACTTCCTTTCCTCCACAAAGCAAGAGTTCTAGGGTAAGCCCTGAATCCACAAAAGAACGCTTATCAATGATTGGTGAATCAAGGCGGTCGACAGGTTCTCCTGTCTCACTGACCACTGTTCTATTAAGTCCACCTGCTTCACTGCCACTGTCTTGATCTAAGCCTCACACCTGGATTTCTGCTAATCCACCTAAGTGGGTTTTCTCTTTGGCCTTCTCCATTCTACCTCCATGTTCTGTGCTGTAGCCAAAAGTATTTTCTTTAAAATCTTAAATCAGTCAGATTGCTCATTAAAGCTTTCATATTGTCCTTCCTTAAAGTTAACATGAACATAACTGTCAAGACCTTGCATGAAAGAGCTGCTACTTCTGTCTCCAGCCTGGTGGCTTCTAACATTCTCAATCTCATTTGCTATTCCCCAACTTCAGACTGGTCCTCCTATGGAATTTTCAAAGGGCCTCAAGCTTTCTTGCCTCCATGCTTTGTTCTATTTCAGGTGTTACTCTTCCTCCTCTACTTCTCAGTTATTTTCATTCTCCATGTCAAGTCACCTGTAAGGTCTATCCTGATCACCTTCTCTGCAGTAGGCACCTGTTTCTCATGGTACCATGATTTTTTTTTTCTTGTATGGTTCTTATCTCCAACTCAAATATAGTCCTATTTAAATATCAGTCTCCCCAATTAAAATACAGCTCCCAGTAGGGCACGAACCACACCCCATCATATTTATGAATTTGTCTAACACCTAGCTCTTAATGGTTCCTTGAGTTAAAATGAAAGGGGGTATACCTGATCCACTCAAACTAGCAGGCCAGCATCTTGTTTTTCTGTAGGCTCAGAGTCAGCTGCACCTACTCCGTTAGTAGCAACTCTCTCCCAGTTGACGTCCAAATATTTACTCTCCCACCACCACTTCCTGAGACCCAGCCTGGACCTCTCACTCTGGAACTTCAGATAGCCAAAGGTAAGACCCTCCTTTGCTGGAGAGGCTAGCCTATAGTCTGAATCCTTGTCACTGTTCTGGGTTGCAAAGACCCTAACTTAGTAACAAGATACTTATAGAGGTGTTTATGGGGGCAATAACCCTTCAGATTTAGAGATTCCTAGCTCTGTCTCTACATTTCAGCTCCTTATTTTGGCCTCTTGCAGATAAAAACTATAGCTCCTACTACACTGTTGGTGACTACCCGGTGGTGAAGTTACTCCGGGATCCCATTTATGTGCAGGTCTCCATTCTTCACAGAACGGACCCCTACCTCGGGCTGCTTCTCCATCAGTGTTGGGCAACGCCCAGCACAAACCCCCAGAGTCAGCCACAGTGGCCCATCCTGGTAAAGGGGTAAGTGGTTCTTTTATGCGTCTGTGCTGAGTCCCCTAAGGAAGCCCAGCCTAACCGCTGGCTCTCTTGGCTTAGATGCCCCTACACTGGAGACAACTATCAGACCAAGCGGATCCCTGTTCAGAAAGTCTTAGAGGTGCCGTTTCCCTCTCACCACCAGCGTTTCAGCATTTTCACCTTCAGCTTTCTGGACTTTGCAGCAGCAAAGCCGGCTCTTGGAGGACTGGTAGGATGTTCCCTTTTACTTATCAGCTAAGATTCTGATCTTAGAACTTACATGCCATACCTAGCCGTACCTAGCATGTAAGTTGTCTAGTAGGGCTCTGAACCCTTTCCCCCCAACTTAGAACTGTTTCCATGTCTTACTGCTCCTCAGTTAAGGTAGTCCTTTACCGCGGGCTGTCAGTACTGCCTCAGAGCAACCTCTGACATCAACTACATGAGTGATATTGGTCAACTGGACTCTAGTTCTTCAGGGTTAATGTGATGCTGGCGTGGGCTATCTCAAGATTTTCTCATAACATTCTGAACTACTTTCTTGGGAGACAAAGCAAGTAACTTACGACATGATCATACTACAACATGCCCCAAATTCTGTTGACTCCCAGGTGTATCTGCACTGCAGTGTGTCAGTCTGCCAGCCTGCTGAGACACCATCCTGTGAGACAACCTGCCCTGTTGCCAGCCGTGAGTATCCAAGCTATTTATGTTAAAGAACAAAGTTAAATGAATCTGGAGTCCCTCATCTAACCCTTTTTAGCCTATGGCCAGATGACTCAAACCAAAAATTCATCTTATTAATAAGGCTTCTCTAAGTACTTATGGTGCTGTAGAACAAAAATGAATAGCTTTCTAGAATCCCAGTTCTTTTAAAAGTAAACCATAAATGCTCAAGTAACTCCCAACCTTAGCTTTTTCTATATAAGTTTTGATTTGACCAAGAGCCAAGCCAGTCTGTGGCTTGCATGGCTCAATTTAAAGAACATCTGGCTAGCTTACAAATGTAAACATCTATCATTACTTGAAGGCAAGTCTGGCAACATGGGCTAAAGAGCTACAGATGGGCTATAATTGTGAACTTATAGTATGCTCCCTAGTTGGACAGGGCCAGTGTTTGTAAGATGCATATGTACTTCCACCTGGTCAAGTATCTCTCACCTGTCTAGCCTGAATAATTACGATTCATGATTCCCACAGTGTTAAGTCCCATCTAGCAAAAAAAAAAATTAATGATAACTAAATGGTACTTACTATGCAAAATATGACGCTAAATACTAAAGTATTTAGTTAAAGTATTTAGTTAAAATCCTTTGCACTCAGACAGCTCATGGGTCACCTGCCAGCAACTCAACCGTACTTTTTTTTTTTTTTTACAAAACAGTGGAAAATGAATCACTTCCTAGTAAAGCATTGGAGCCAATTATCTTACTGTAGTGATATTTGGCTTATAATGGAATTTTGGAAATTTATGAACTTACAACAAATCAAATTTTTTTTTTTGAGTTGGAGTTTCACTCTGTCGCCCAGACTAGAGTGCAGTGACCGCTCCCGGCCACCGCAGCCTCAGTCTGCTGGGCTCCAGCGATCCTTCCGCCTCAACCTTACAAGTACCTGGAACTACAAGCATGTGCTACCACACCTGGCTAATTTTTTGATTTATTGTAGAGATGAGGTCTCACCAAGTTG